TTATTATTAATTATTACATTTCCATATACATATATATTCTAAAAGTTTTAGCAAAAACAATTAAATATAATTGTCTATGAAAACTCAATCAATTTGCTTCTGTTAGCTGCTATACTTGTTAGGTGTGCTCATATATTTGCAGCTCAAATCATAGAACATTTCTATTTTATTTCGTCTCTCCCCTTTGTGTGCAAAGAAGTTGGCCGCACAATCCTTATTTTGCATATGAACAAAATAATGTGCGTGTGCTCCCGTTCATAATATCAGAAATAGAGATTTATATAGAGGGAATTGTATGAGAGTAATTTTCTGTTCTATTCAAATATCAACTGCATGCATACGAATCCAACATGATGATTTGCCAAAGTGGTTGCATGAGCGGCTGAAGTTTGCAGCTCATCTCACCATACATTTCTATCACATTTCGTCTCTCCCCTTTTAACAGCAGCACCCACGAATTTCTGTTCTTATTGTGCGGGGTACTTGTCCGCACATTTATACGTTGCAAGCGGGTTCGATTTTGTTTGATCACTGCACAAACATGTATGTTTCTAAGTACAAACTCTTTTGTTTGAAAAAATTTGGTTTGATGTTACGAGAATTATGTGAATAGTTTTGTTTCTTCCATATTGATATAATATTAAACTTGTATATAAATTATTAATTTAATTTGTTTAATATGTTATTTTGTTAATGAATAGTTAATATAATATTGCAAATATATTGTTGCCTAATATAATATGGTTATTATTAATAAAACATCTCATATATTTTAATTTAAGTGGTACATGTAAAAAAAACATTAAAGAAGAGCCGCACACCCTTCCAGATAGGGCACGCGTCGTCACTGTACCACACCTAATCAACCAAGTAAGGAAGTGCTATATAAATTTACAAAAGAGTAATGATAATTAAAAAAGCTTCGGAAAAATGTTTGCGGGTAAAATAAAGCATATTAAACAAATAAAAATTAAATTTTTTGGATCTTGAACAATTGAAAAGACATGTGAATATTCTGTATTGGTCGAAGAATTGGCTACTTGTTGAAACATGACTATTGACGGCAGTATTAGATACTGAAAGCGACGAACTAATCTCTACATTGAAGAAGGATCTCTACATTGAAGAACGATAGTTTGAAAACTGATAACCCAAAGGCTTACACAGACAAAAATCAGAATAGGTCAAGAGAATATTAACATTGACAAAACGATGATCGTATAATGGACATTTAACGAAATCAAACCGAAACCTGTTTTATGGAACGCTCAGTTAGAGCAGCTGGAATCGTTATAGAGTAAGCTCTATTGCACACCAAAGCAGTATTGCACAAAGATGAACTCCTGATAACAGTTCTGTGAAACGCTTGAAACTGTCAATGGAGCCTTCAGTCTTCCTTAGAGACGGACTTGAGTCAGAAAACTCTTCTTATTTTAACGATGACACCCTTTGCGTGCTGCACGGCCTTCATTGAGGTAGAAGCACAGACATCAAATCCTATCCACGCTATTATCAATAAAGATTTTCAGACTGTTGTTCATTCCGAAAGCATCAAAACTAAACCACTTCACTGTGAAAGATTATAGATCAATTAGTCTCTTCTCGTTAATTTTCAAAACACTAAAGAAACTTTTCGACTTGTACATAAGAAGGAAAGCCATCATGCACACAATGACAGCGTACAACATGCATACTGTAAAAAAATATCAGTGAGAAGAGCTCTTCACGAAATGCTTAGCATAATTAAAATATCATCGAACCAAAAAGAGCACACATGCTTCGTGGATATCGAAGGAGCAACGTAAGCACGGAAATGATCCGAAAGGCGCTGAAGAAAAATGAAATCTATGACAACAGGTTCTGTGAGTAAAAGATCTACAAAGTGCTATCAGACCTTCTTTAGCTATTAACCGTTAATGAGATTTTAAAGATTTTCAGTGTAGAAGGAATGAACGTAGAGACGTAACGATTCTAATCTCGAGCAAATATCTGCAAACGATTAGTGAGCTCATGGAGTTAATATGTGACGAAATTTCAAAGTTAGCTGAAAGTTTTAGCTTAGAAGTCAACGAGCCTGCTAAGATAGAGCTCATTCTATTTCCACGGTAAACTAACCTAATTAGTTTCACTTTGCACAAACACATGGAATGGTGGTGAAGTCAAATATCTTGGCAATATCTTTGTTTCACAACTGAACTGCAGATATAATATAACGGAAAGAATTAAGGAGACACTAGGTGCCTATTATGTTTGAAAAAGCTTTTTTCAGGTTCTTTTAGGAAACGATTGATATTACGGGATGTACAAGATTGATATGGAATCAGCCACGTACAACATGACACCAATACTGGACTTCATAACTATAATTCCTGTTTTATGCCCTACAAGGGAAAATTGGGAGTCGGAACATGTGACAGGTAAGTCTGAAGTTATCATAAATGACTCAAATGATGAGTCACAGATGACTCAAATGATGAGTCACAGATGACTCAAATGATGAGTCACAGATGACTCAAATGATGAGGCACAAATGACTCAAATGATGAGTCACAGATGGCTCAAATGATGAGTCACAGATGGCTCAAATGATAAGTCACAGATGACTCACATGATGAGGCACAGATGACTCAAATGATGAGTCAGAGATGGCTCAAATGATGAGTTACAGATGGCTCAAATGATGAGTCACAGATGACTCAAAAGTGGAAAATAGAACCTACCTGCAGTCATACTGTACTGATACTTCAACAATGGTGTATGCCGTCAAATATACCTTCCAGGAGCTACTACAATGAATATGAGACATAATCCATTAATAACTTTCTATGTATATGTCCATGTCTATAAACAAAGCAAATTCACTACCTTGGCGATCGCTTCTTCACTGACCTAACAGATATAACGAACAAAGGCTTGTCAAATCTACTTAGCATTGTCTAGAAGACGAAACTGTTAAAAAAGGACAATACCAGAAGATAACAATAGTTAGTGTTACTTACCACCTCAAGGCAACTTTGAGGGCATCACAATGGGTCTTCTTAGCCTTGCCTACACTTATTTTACTCAGTGTCAAGAGTTTACTTAATCTACATTCTGCAAGCGAGAGAAAAAAATAGTTTAACTCTATGTTGTAGTTGTAGTTTTAAATTTCTTTTGTACTTTTTATACTATATGCTATAGATACCATGATAAAATGAATATAATTGAACTATAACTTTATTATTGGGTTTCGTATCGTTTGTGAGATAAAAAAATTACTTTAATTTACCTCGTAAGAAACAAATAAGAGACATTCTGAATATTTGAGTAAAACAGTAAATTAGCCTAAGTTATTCAAGGTTTTTACACTAAAAGCAACAAACAGATTAAAAGAAGCAAAAATCGATTAAGAATGTGATATAGCTTTCACATTAGGCTTTACATTCTGAAAATATGTAAATATGTAAGATTAGATGTATATGGTTAAACATTGTTGGTATTATAAACTTACTCTATAAAAAACTAACGGATTGTAACACCCTGGATGGTAGACTCCAGGGGTCATAGCTTATTTGTTACTACGTCTGTAGTACATTGACAAGTAACTGTTTTGCAAGACGCTATATCTAGGTATCAATTGTACCTAGACAATTGTTATTGACCGATGGAAAGGTATAATATCATCATTACATATGTTCTGTTCTAAACAGAGCTTGTTGAAAGCTTTGGTATAAATTAATCGTAACCTCAAGGAAGATAATGGCTCTATACCGCACTGATATTAATTCAATTGCTATAAGCATTGATAAGTATGATACCAAGAAAAGGATCGAGAAGTATCATTTATATGTTCATCCATGTGACATCAGGGACTAAATTATTTTTATGATAGCTAATTATACAATCTTCCCAACCTTCCCATTTTAGACTCCGCATAGTAAAGACCAATATGCGAGATGTGACGGCAGTCGGTTTAATTTAATAGTGCTGAGTTTTTACAGTGCATTGTTTCGAATTTTTCCCAATGTGTTTCGCAAAGCTATGGGGCAGTACGGATTTCAAAAGATTGCCTTATTGCTTTATTTTAATGGCAAAAATGATATTAAACATACATATATAAAACCACATAAAATTGTTGTTGTGACATTTTCTAACTTTGAAAATTTGAAAGAAGTACAATATTAACAAAAAAAATAATTTGCTGTCGTTTAAAATCCATTAAATTTCGACTTATTTTAAAATCAATAATTAAACTAAATTTGTTGGATTACATTTATTAAATATAAACTATACTCTCACTTCTCAAAACCACTTCTTTTTATTATGATTCAACTAAACAATTTTTTAATCTCTTGAGAGAACTACTCTCAAATAAAAGCGTAAACATGGAATAAAAAGATAATGATCTAATTTAAAGTGCTTTGGTTTATGTGTATTTTTTTGTTAATCGTATAACTGCTGAGATAGTAAATCTAATCTACTCTACTAAATTACAACAAAAAGACATTTTGTTGCAAAAGTTTCCTTAATTTCAAAACTATAATCAAAATAAACTAAAATTTTAAATTTAAATTTTTAATCTGTCTTCAGTTCGTTTAAGAAAACATCTCATCTAATTATATGACGACTACTACACAACACATAACCAATTAGTTATATGATTCTATACAATGATTTTATATTAGTAAGCATGTCTGACTTACCCATTTCATATTATTTACCATATCACATTATCTTTCAATATATAATACACACTTAAAATATTCTTAAATAAAAACCATTTTTATTCGATTTTTTTACCAATTTTTGTTTTGTATTAAAGATTTTGTTATAGATTTAAAGAATTTTACAATTTTATACAATTAAATAAATTTACGGAAAAGGTTGGAATGACAAGTTTACAAGTACACTAAAGAAGTACAGAGGGATATACTCGTATTTTTAAAATCAACAAACTCAACTCGATTTATACATGCGTGTGATATACTTAATGATAAGAAAACAAGAAGACATATTGTTTGTATAAAAAATGCAGTCAATATAGCCACCTACTGCTATAATTTGTCTATAACAAATTCATTTCAAAATTTTTTATCTAGCGCAAATATAAAAAACTAAATATAAAGTGTATAAAAAAAACAATAGAAGAAAACAAATTAAGTAAACAAACCTACAAATTAAAAAACCTAATTTTTTCTTATATGAAATCAAAAGTTACTAATCGCATATATGTGCTATTGCATTTTTGTGGTTAGCACCGAAAGAATTGGTACTAGAACGCTCCTTAAAATGCTGATGTAGAATGTTTATATATGTAGTGTTTTTTTTTTGTTTTTAATTAATAAATAATTTAACTTAATTATTGTTCATTGATGCTGTACTTGGCTGCTTTATCCACACCATAACAAAAATGTTTTCGCAAATATAAACCATGAACAGACTACATTTGTTCTTACAAGTTTTATCCACTATATGCTTTTTTAGTTGTGTAGTAGTTTTGACCTAATAGAATTTTTTAGCTTGGGCTTCACTTCGACTTCTACAATAAAAAAATTTTTGTTGTACTTTTTTTTGTAATGCTGCAACTAATATTAACACTTACTTGAACACATTGTACAAAAGTACTAAGAGTAGTTGCACAACGGTTACACTTAGGAACAATGTCACTCCAACACAATTTCCTGTGGGACAGGAAATTTGAGCATTTGTATTAGGTGATCCAACTCTTAAATGGGATATAAAAAATTAATAACACTTCAAGTTTTAAGTAAACTTCTTTGACTTACTTTTGTCCAAATTGAGCAACTCCTTGTTTAACTTGATTCATTCCATCTCGCATCTCAGCAATAATTGATTGTATGTCGTATCCAGCTGTTTGAATTTGTGCTGTAGGTGCACGTTGTTGAGCCTGTATAATAGTATCAGTACGACCTTGTATATCACCTACTAAGTTTCGTATTTCTCGTATTGTAGCTAAAAGTGAGTTTTGATTTGATATTAATATATCAACTTCAGGTCGCGTAATAGTGCCTCCAACTCCAACAGCAATAGGTTGCTGTTGTCCACCTCCAGCCGGTGCAGCAGCACCTGCCGCAGCTGATATCCCCCGCGAAACTAAAGACAACGTATTTTCTTGACGGCCAATCACTTCATCGACCTTTCTTGAAAGTTCACGCAAGTGTTCGAATATTTGACTTTGTCCTTGCCAAATTTGACGCAATTCTCGTTGATTTTCAGACTCGTAAAATTCTTCCCACTCTTCATCGTCTTTTACCTGCACAAATTCAAATTTTCAAATAATTTTCGCTTGCGATTTATCGTCAATCGTCATGTAAATTTATTTACCTCATTGGGGTGCTCCTTTTTATATTGTTGTTTTTGTTTCTCTAATTTTTCTTGATATTCTTTATATTCCTGAGTTAATTTTTCTGAATTATCTGCTACTTTTGATGGATCTGCTGGTATTTGTCCTGGCGGATGTAGCGAAGTTGTCAAAAAATGGAAGACATCATGATCATCAGCTAAACCACCAGTTGCAGCTGATAACCCGAAATAACCATTTTTAGGTAACTGAACGCCATCAGAACGCAGACACAATTCATAATCTTCATTATTGTTTGTCATACCGTTATGGAAGAGAACAGTCAATACGTTGTTGTAATACTCAATACGTGCACGCGTTGGAAATGGTTTATTTCGGAAATCTCGTAGACAACCAGATAGAAGCTGTGTGGTACCATCATTTTGATGATCAAACTGCTTAGTACCATCGTTAAGCACCGCACTTATATATGGATTGTTATGCTTATTATCATTATCGAAGGAATCAAAGAAAACACCAAGACCGTTCCAACGATCGGATGAACCATAAACTTCTCCATTATAATCTCCCTTTTGTGTTGTATACCAAAACGCCAGACCATCAGCACCAATACGGCCACGTCCTGTGATCCGGAAGACTATCTCTACTTCCCACCAGTCAAAATTTGTCGGCGCTTTCGTCCATATTGCACCTTTTTGTGAACGCAGCGAAGGTGCTACTCTCACGCTTTCCGCAGACGCAATCGCATCTAAAATAAATATTCAAGTAAAAACACAAATATTAGCATTATTCAATCAATTTAATTAAATTAATATTTACAAACTGGGAAAACCTGAAAGTGCTGTTTGCGTGGACACTTTCGGTCACAGCTGACGAGTGCCACTCTGTCAGTGACCACATTTGCCATCGCATTCACTCTTACGTGCATTACAAATGCACAGCTGAGATAGCGCACCTTCTGACGTGTCTCCCTGTGTGTTTATGTCAAAGTTTTTGTTACTTACTTCCACCGTATTCCCAAAACGGTACTGTGCCATCTTTTTGAGCCAGATAAGGTGGTTTAAACGAATACTTGTACTCAAACCTTCGGTGCACTCCACCAGGATGATTTAAATTAACTTGTGCATTACTTATATTAATAAAAGTTAAAATCACAAATACAAATTTTACAAATTTGCACGAGCTTATCAGCGCGGCCGCTAACATTTTTCTATATTTTGACACATACACTTTTTTGTTTAACGTAAAGGTGGTTGCGAATTAATGGAAGTAGAAACAAATTTACAGTTTACAAGGTTGCATTTTTGAAAATAGAGCTGCGCCTGTAGTAAGAACGATTTTAAACGCGTACGATATGTACGCGATATGCGTTTAAGATAAAATCTAATTAAGAATAATCACGGAAACGTCTTCATTTACCAACTCAAATTTGATGAAATTTCAATAATCAATGGCGTAATGGATTTTCATAACTTTTTGCTGCTTAAATTAAATTCCTTCCTACCGAAAGGAATTGGATAAATATTATTTATTGAAGCAATTGAATAAATTTAATTGTTAAAAAAATAGAATTGACTAGTTACGTTTTTCATTTCTACTTGCATGTTCTGTAAATAGTATCAAAAATCTTAGGGCTTTTTTTTTTCTTGCAGTAGGTGGAAGCATCGAAAGCCACCGTGTGAGACTTGAACCCACTAAACCACCACTTTGGAGTGTAAGTGGAAGATTGCACCCGCAGATGCAACACCATTCCAGAATTAGGAGAGACAACAAATAAGAGCTTAACATTTGTAGACAAATTCCTCTAAGCTATAAAAATATCTTATGGCTATAATCAGTAAAGTAATATAAAGAGTTTTTAAAGAATTTAAACAGCTGACTGTTAAATTAATTTAATAGAATTTAAGAGTTTTTCTGAGTACACTTATTTTAAAATTTATACAAAGAATATAATACTGAATATATCTAAAAGAATCATTTATTTTGCTCTACATCATACTTTTCTAAAATTAATTAAAATTAACTTTCTAACATATAAATAGGATATTTTAATTGTTCCAGTAGAATGGGATATTAAACTCCAATAATGTTATAGACGATTTTAGCAGCTGATTGTGATTTTTCCATAGAAAAATGTTCGAAGTCAAGTATTTGAGTGTAATAAAAAAAAAATAGAATATATAAAAATATAAATCGTTTAATATTGTTATTAAACTCATTAATAGACCATATTCAATATGTGTCTTTACTATTGCTATGAAACTTTATAACTAATTGATAACTTTATCCAATAACACTACCAGTATGAATAACTATTCTTAAATTTTACAAAGAAGATATAATACCAAACCCCGGTTTATGATCGTTTATGAAAATATGTAACTACATTTTGGAAGTAATAAAAATGTTTAATCTGTATATACAATTTAGGTATTCTGCTTAAAAAATTTTTAATTTTTTATTTCTTCATTTGTTATATTTCAATTGTTATAAATTTCTTAAACAGTCGCAACAATTATACTTAAGGTCAATAATTCTTTCTTACAAAATTCATAAATGTATACTCGAACGTTGACTAACATAATTAATAACTTAATTATGAATATAAATGTTATATGAATTATAACATAACTTTTATTGAACCACCGTCGTAGATGAGCAAGCCACGACATTCTTTGTCTGTCAGGGCCGCGCCTTTTTTTAATTCTACCTTGAATGTATAACTAAAGCAGACCGTATTTTTCTGGGTGTCTTAAGATATGATCGAAGTATCTCAGTTTTCTTCGTTTTTTTTCTTTTTCTTTGCTAATAAGTAAAAGTATTGCCGAATTTCTGACATGCTCATTCCAGCTAAATTTAGGTAATCAAAGATAGCACCACATGAAGAGTTTAATGGCCATAAAGATAATTCTCGGTATCGTAACAATCGACTGCTTGAAATTTTTAAAAATTGCTGGGAAATCATTTGTTTGTTGAAATATATCCAAATGTAATTAAAATTTTTATCTTGTAAGACGATGTCACATATTAATTCGTCAATGATATGTCCGCGTATAACAATCATAATGCACAAAAACATTTGCTTCAAATTAATTTGCTAATTTTAGAGATATCGTTATTACTGTAATTAGGGACATCGATACATTTTGGTAATTTTGTTTCGTATAAATTTAAATTAAGAGAAACATAAGTGTTGTAGTACTAGTCTTAATTTTAATATATAATCATTTCTAGTGTCAATTTAGTCAATAAAATTCGGAGATGAAATACTTGCAAAAAACAATTATGTTTAAATGTTTGTATAAATTAATTATTTTCAATTTAATAATGTATTTAATGAGTTGCACAACAAGTCACCAATACATCATCGGTCTATATATGACATGGACATCGGGTCGTTTGACTAACCTGTTCGAATTGTAGATGACTTTCGTAAATGTAATTATCATTAACAACGTTATTTCGAGCAAACATCGATGACAGATAAGTAGGGTTACGTTAAAGTGGAAGCCTTATGCCTTGTGGTGACTTAAGTATAAATAATAGCCCGTTGTGATATTACGAACCTGTGACACCTATATATATTTTTTTGTTAATATTATATTTTAATGAATAATAAGAAATTCATGTAATTTTAAAAATTTATTAAGATTATTTAAACATTAATTAATTGTATTCTTAGGTATACGTACATATATGTTAATAATATTCAAATTGTAAATGTAATCAGTAGATAAAATAGAAATTTTTATTTATTTTCAGTTGCATGAACTGGTATTATCCATTAATTCACAGGAATACATTGAATATTACATTTAGTTTTCAGTATTTCTTTAAACAGCGTTTATTAATCACAATTTTCTCGTTTATTCTTTTAAAGACATTAAAAAGTCGTATTTTAATATTTATATATAATTATGTATATATGCGTTAATTTATATTATTGTGAAATGTTTATCTAATTACAGAAAAAAGGTTTAAGTAAAAGAAATAAATTATTTAACTTCATATATTTTTTCGTTTAGCTGCAAGTTATAATTATTTTATATAAAATTATAATAATCTCAGAAGAGTGTACATTTAGCATTACTCAAATGCTAAAAAAATAATGTTTTATTAAATATTATGAAACGAGAAAGTTATTCGAACGACAGGTGGCTATAAAAACTCAAACTATTGCAAATATATTGTTTACAAAAATAATTCATAATTTTATATCTTACATATACAATTTCAGTATTCACTTATGCAAACATGTAAGATGTAAATTAAATTAAATCCTTAATGTTATTTCATATTATTTTTTATATTTAGTGATAAAAACAGCTCTTTTTAATTTTAAGTTAAAAAATATGTATACTAAAACATAAATCAATAACATTAAATCAATATTTGGAAAATAACTCCAGAAAAACGATTTCAACCGTTAATCCACATTAGATCTTTGCTCGTTATAAAAATATACATATAAAAATATTCAAAAATATTTTTTTGAGGCGGACAGGTCTTAAGTACAATATTATATGATTTTATTTTTGTTTTTTTCTTTTTTGTTTTTGGTTAAATAAGCATGTAACAACTGCGTATTAAATAAAACAATTTACTACAGTAGTATGCAATTAATTAATATAATAGCTTATATATATTGTAAATTAAAAAAGGAGTGTATTTAAATTCTAGTATTCTTATAGTTTAGGAAAACTAATTTAAGAAAATCTATATGTTCAACAATTATAATTTTTTTTCTAGTTCTACTTTTGAAATAGTTTTAGTTTTGTGAGCCTTATTATTTTGTATATTGTAAAATATGCTACTATAATTATTACATAAAAAACAAATCCTGTTGCAAAGTGTACGTGTTGTGTTTAGTGTCAGACTCACAATTTTCAGTATTCAAGTACATTTACAGGACTATTTAACTACTCGATTATTTATTGCGTGCATATTAGGACTATTAAAAGTATATAAAATACAAAATACAATTGCTTAACTTTGCGATTAGATTATATGAGTGTTTTTTCAATGTTTATGTTTGTGTGTTTTAAATAATCAGTGAAGTGCGAATAATAACATTGTAATTTTTGTGGACTGCATACAATATATAAATATTTTAGATTGAAACTGTAATACCTATATGAAAAATACAATATATAATTTATTGAGGTTTATTATTATAGACTTATTTTTATACTAAAATTAGTGACCGAATCAGTGAACATCGTGGATCGCTGTAGTTGTTGCGGAAAATACATTCATTAAATCATCTTCGTAAATTGCAATGAATAACATTAATATAACTCCACTACTCATTCCAAGTATTTGTAGTACAAATTGCTCGATCGATTTGTGCGCTGCTGATAGTTCAGGCATCTAAAATTTAATTATGATTGTATTATAAAATGTTATATACAATAACTTATCTAGAAATATTTTCACTTTTGTAATTGTTAATTCATTATATTTTGTACTATGCTATATTAGTCTATTCTATTCAATTAAATTCTATTCTATTTTTTATTACTTTTTTAATTATACCTACTATTATAATTTCTATTATATGTTCTATCATATTTTCAAATCTATTTTCTCTTCTATTTTCTGTTTTATTTTGTATTCTATTTTCTATTTTAATCTATTGTAAATGATTGTTGTAAATAATGTATTTATTGTTATAAATATAAATGATTGACATATAAAAATATTTTATATATTATTTACCATATCAACTAAAGCTATATAAATAAAAAGACCAGCTGCTGCTGCAAACATCCATTGTGCCACTTCCGCAGATTGTCCAAACACGATACCGAATATCATCCCTATGAAGCTTAGTATACCGGTCATCAAATTATAGTACACCGCAGACTTAACGGACATACCAGCTTTTATTAATATCGCAAAGTCACCGAGTTCATGGGGCAGTTCATGACAAAAAACGGCCAATGATGTCGAAAATCCGCCAGCAATATTTTCTGCAAATGCTGCGCCTAAAATGTACATCAACATTAATAACTTCAACAAAAAAGTATATGTAAAAAAATTAAAGGTAAAAGAAGACTAAGTAAATGATAATCAATTTTACACTGTTACAATATATTTATTCCTTAGTTGTAAATCAGGAATTACCTATAGCCATGCCATCAGTAAAGTTATGCAGACCATCGCCCATAATTATCATCCACGCTACCGCGCTTAGTGACTCAGGTGGTGAGTGTACATGACCATGTTTATGACTATGTCCATGGTGAGAAGATTCGTGTTCACGTAATATAACAGTCACTGTGTCGTTACCGGTAGACTTTTCTTTTGCACAATTATTGCCATTGACAGTTCCTGTCCCAGTCCCAGTCCCAGTCCCAATTAAATCGCCAACAGAATTGCCATCCAAATCAGTGGAGATAGTATTACTATCAGGTAAATGATGCTGATGATCTTTATGATGATGTTGGTTATGGTTATGATGATGATTGTTCAGTTCTGTCATTGGTGCATAATTATTTTGTGAAGTTGACAACAAAGATTGTGCTGCCATTTCACAAACATCTGCTTCTGTTTTCGTGTTTCGTCTACGATCACTGATATTACCCACAATATCAAGAGTTTCACCAGCACTTGTATTATTAGGATAATGAAGCCATACATCATTTTTCGAATCCATTGCAATTTCGTCATAGCAATATGGATATGAACTATACTTGGATTTACACAATTTATCACCAGCTACAGAATTGTTAATTGAAGAATCTGGATCTCTTACTACTTTGGCCCTTGACGGTTGCTTGGTCTCCTTTTTTGCTATTTTTTTTCGCCATTCAGAAATCATTGTTAAACCGTGTTCAGTAATATAAAAAAAAATTATACCGCCCATGCATGCAAGACCCTTAAATACCATATTTTTCTCTGATTGACCTGCAATCGCCTATAAAAGAAAACTTTATGAAATGCGAAATTTTAATAAGGAAAAAAAACTTACATGTGGTAAAAGATGTAGCAACGCATCACCAGTCATCGTACCTACAGCTAATGATACCAGATACTGTATAATATGCTTATAATAACGCGAATCCATAAATGGAATTATAGCTACTCCCACTAAACCCAATATAGAGCAGGCGAACACTGATACAAACGCATAAACCCAAACTAAAATTCGAATAAAATATAATGTGAGTTACTCAGTTATCCAGTTACTCTTTTTTTACTCAGGTTATTTACCGTGAAAAATATCTTCTTTATTTTGGTCATAATCCGCAGCTTCATATTTATCAACATTGGATAAAACTGAACCTTTAATGCAACCAGTACGTTCATCAGTAGATGGCGAAGCCAACTGATAAAGTAAAACTGGACATATATTTATCACATCTTCAGCACTTAATGAATAATTCGAACTGCAAGCAATGTGTATTCCCTCTGTTTCATCTTCCGAATGTATATGGTTATGTTCATGCAATGAAACTGAAGTAGAACCATTTGAACGTAAAGTGCAATTGACTGCTTTCCGTGTCAGTTCATCATGCTGATGCGAGTGGTCTGGTATTTTGTTTTGATTATGATTTTTGTGACTTAGATCGTGCGACTGTATATGATGCATTAATTTCGAATCTGAAATGCACTATTAGAAGAAAAACACCAAAAATAATGAAATTGAACAAAATTTTAGGAAAGATACATACGGTTTCATTGTTCGCTTCTTTGATAAAATGCGTCTCCAGCAGTTGATGCAATCCCAATTGTTTCAACATGCGTTTAAATTCGCTAGCACTAATTCGTCCATCGCCTTGACCATACTCACTAAATATACGAACTAAAAATTCGTCAGTTATTTCGGGTCTAAGATTTCGAACTCTTTCGTCGCCATGCCCAACGTGTCGTTTACGTCTATGGTGGATATGGTTCTTTTGTTCTCTTACTTTATTACTCGCCTCAAAATTATTAGGAAAATGCTTATCGGTGGCTTGGATTTGAGGGGGATTTTTTACAAAATCAGCATGCTGGTAGACCTTAGCGTTCAAGTTAGGATGAGGGTTAGGTAGTTGTTGTGTTTCTGGGAAAATTCCTTCAATATGCTGTTGACACGGCAAGCGATCAGCACATAGGAGACAAACGACACATACGGCCATTATGTGCCGAGCCATTTTGATTTATGATTTTACGTTGATTTTCGGTACGTTTAATATGTTTAAAATAAATAAATTACTATAACTATAAATTTAGAATGAAAATGTTGAAAATAATCCAATAGAAGTTATTCATTCATCAACACAGCGCACGTCTAAAAAGTCCAATTTAGTTTAAATAATGCTGCATTATGTTAGTTAACATTTTCTATAACGAAAATCTGCAAATAAAAAATTTTATTATGAAAACTTGTTTGAAGTGTTTGAATTTCATCAATTATATATGTTAAACTTCGAAATTAAAATAACTTCGAAAAAGTATTCGTTTTCGAAAATATTTCACAGACAGATACTAGCAATATACAAACGAGTACACGTTCTATATTAATAAGTAAAGGCAATAGTTAGTTTAGTTTAATGCAAGAAATCCACTTGGGTTGAATGGGTTATTTTCATTAAGGAAATAAATAATTAGAAATAATGTTACGAGTATTAGTAGTAAAATATATTAATTCACTGAACATTTTTACAACGGACAGCTTTGTTGTGTGGATATCTCCCTTGGGCGTGCTATCAGGACAGTTCATTTGAAACTTCAAATGAAGTTTCTTTTCTTTTCAAAAAGAAAATATATATATATAGTTTTTTATGAAATATAATATTATATTTAGTTTTGAAGAAATGTAGTTTTACATATTTTTGATACAACTCTAGCATTAAAACTATCTGTTATAGTTCATTGTCTTATTGAACAATAGAAGCTTTTATGAGAAGTCATATTTAAATTATTCTTATAATGAATTATTATTAAATAAGCGACGATAAAAATATTTAAATAACTCAAATTTAGCATTTTGAGCTTGTTTCTCTAACTTGTTTGTTGCAATGCAAAACACAATTATTTAATTATTTAATTCTTGTATTCTATTCTATGTGAACCTGCTTGATTTAATCCCACACCCCATTAGCCCATCCACTATAAATGCAAATGTGGCGATGAAACTTACGAAGCACTGGATCAACTTGTGTAGCGAAAACAACTTCATTCGCCAATACAAGTTCAAGTTCAAATTGCGGATAAACTGTAGCTGAGATACTTGAAGGTGGAAATCTTTAATGAGCTTAACTGCTTAAAGCCCACTCGCGTTCAATAAGCCAAAAGTAGAAATTTATTGAAACTACAGCTGTCATTGTCAATGTTGCAACAGAATAGAAATCTAATTTTATACTAATTAACTATTCACTATTTACCTGCTCCACAATAGGTATGAACAAATAAATATTTAATTTGTTTTGTCATGGAAACAATTTCATCTCAATTATTTGAGATACAATTATAGAATTTAATTTGACATAAATAATTGAGCGCATTCAAAGGGTGCTCCTCGAATTAAATCGTTTTAGTAATTCAGAATAAATAACAATACTATAAACAATACTAGATTCGAATGGACGATACTCTTAAAAATGTGCTTATCACTTATATGAAGTGGTTCTTAATGTCTCTGTTATAATTAAAAGGAGAACCAACTCTTAATACTAAGATTATCATTCTCTTTAGATTTACATTTTTTACAAATAAAGCCTGTCTTATTAACATCTTAATATCCTTTAGAATTTCTTCTGGTAACATAAAGATACTATTACATAAGTCCTAACTGTAATTCGTCTCACCTGTAGCAAACTTAGTAGTTAACAAGCAGAAATATATATATTTAGCAAACTGAATAAGTGAGCTAAGTGACAATAAGACAGTACTATTTATGCAAGAAATTTGAAACATACATACTTGATTAGTACGTAGTCCATGCTACTGGCGTACACTTAATAGGAGTGGTGCACGGCACTTGGTTGTCAAATTCGACAAATAACAACAAAACGTACATCTGATCACTTCTATATACATAAGTTCAATTAAACTGTGTTTTCATGACTCTGAGGTTTAACAGATTTTAACACTTGGCAGTGGTTATTAATCTCTTTACCTGTTTTCCTTCCTCAACACTCTATGCATTTTTTTCTTTCAGATATTGCAAGAAGTTGCAATATGTTAATACTAACAAAGCAAATTACCCGTTCTGCTGCCACAACAGTTTCTGTAGATAGGATAAAGATACTTTCATCGTACTGTGCGTCTGGCTGAAATTTGCGACATCTTTGTAGAACTGACCTGTCCAATCTGCATATAATCAGACAGACTATTGCTTAGATATAAACAAACTATATTCACTAACTAGCGAATAACCATGACCGGGTCAAATGGAGGATATGTACAACTGCGATATGGGGTGAAAAGTGCCACTAAATTTTTATATTTAGGTATAAAAACCTTTTCAACTTAATTAATAATTAATAAAAAATTAAATTTAATCGTATCGCGACGCATATATCCAAGAATTGCGCGTATTCTGTAAACTGCAATTCATACAACTTGTGAATGAACTCTTAAATACGTGAATGAAATTCATTAAAGTTCTCTATATAGTATAAATTACAATTATTTAACTTTCATAAGTTTTAAAATTAACACTGAGGTAAACAAAAATAGTATAATTTTTTTTAAATGGCAATTTTCTTATTAACACAAGAAGCATTTAAGTTTTAATCAAGCATAAAAAATATTTTCATTACAACAATTACGTTTTCAAGACTTACATTCACTAAAACTATAAACGAACTTAATAAATTCATTTAAATTGACACACATCAAATAAGCTATATAATTTTCAAATACAAACAGTTTATATCACATTAGTATATAAATAGAAAAATGGTGTTATACGAGTATTTTGGTCTTATGTACTGAATTGCAATTCACAAATAGACCCACACACTGTCTTTACACAATCACAGTCGAGTGTTAAATGGTAAATGGTAAATGTTAAGTGTTAAGTGGCACATTGCTAATCTTACCAAAAACTAATTCCGGTACACCAATTTCGGTTTCGCTGATAACACAATGCCAATTACAAACAGCAACAACAGCCATCGAAGTAATACCCACGCAGTCAAAATTTTCTTGAGGCGGCAGCATAACAAGTCCAAATCAAAATAAACATTCCGAATATTGATAAAACTTTACGAACGTCTACATTAAGTAGTCGAAGTTTGTTCAAATTTGAAAGAATGAAGAGAATGGAGAGGAAGGGTGCTTGACCGTGTAGCGCACGAGACCAATTTTTATAAATGGCCTGGGTCTACATACATACCCACAAATTACCCACGATCTACTACAAGACAACCGTTGGAAGTACATTTATAATATTTATTATCAAGTGATCGACAAATGCAATCAAACAAAATCTAAGATCTTTTGTTATAAACAATACCTATGTTATAAAAAAAAAAAACAACAACAAAATAAAACAAATAAACATTTTCTAAGCAAAATAATTTAGTCGTAAATTTGGAATGTGTTATATCAAAGCCAAATCAAAATATCTAACAATGGTTACAAAAAAATACGTGTATCTCTATATGTATGTATATATCGCAGTTATATTCGCCCGGCAGCAAAAAAAAAAATAAATAGAAAATTTACTCTACTGACAGCAATTGCATGAACGAGTGGCGAGTGACGAGTAACGAACTCAGTAACGAATACGTAATCCACTGAACCGAGAACCGAGAACCAAGAATTTATCGACTTAATAAACTGTTTGGGAATTGCGTGCAATAGACGTCATAATATTTTTGATTAGCATAGCGGCGGCGGATTCGGTCGGAATGTAAATTTTTGCTAAAATTCTTTTTATATAATCGTTTACATTGTCAAGGACGATTCGACGATTATAGTCACGACAAGGAAGTTTCCGGTAGCACTGCGTTTGTATGAACTTAAATGAAAGATGAACTTTTGCTTCTGCCAAAAGTTTCTATCAGATCTCAGCGCAAACACCAAATCTAAATTTTTTGTTAATTTCATAAGAAAAAAAATATTATTTTATGAACTAAAATTGAAATGCTCACTACTCGTATATAGTTGTTAGAATTAAATATTAGGGCTAATTTCTTAATAGTACCAGGTGGACAAATAAATATTTATTGAAGGAAGTGAAGGCACTGTGATTTCTTCTGTAAATCACGTGTCTATTTGTATTATTTTTTAAAGAAATTATATAAGAAAAATATAAAAATATATTCGTAATTTTGAAACGACTTTGCATCAATAATTCGATAGATTGTCAAGGAACCGTTTCTTCCAGTACTCTTCAAGACTGGAAGAGTATTGTAAATAAGGACTAGACTATATGTATTTGAGCTGATGCGCTAATGAAGAAGATATTCTGTTAAGAAATCTAACGCAGTAACAAAGCAAAACAAATAAAACTTAATTTGAAATTATGCTTAAAATTATAAACTTTTGAAATTATCATAAAAGTATACTGTAAATACTCAAACGGTATTTCAGCACTAGCTCAAATAGAATAAAATATCAGATCTTTCTTTTTTTATAACATGATTCTATTATTATCTATATAAGTTCAGTATAACAAGTATTTTCCTTAATTCTATCCTGATAGAGCATAATACAGAGTTACAAAAAGTTATATTTACAGAGTTTATTGAGTTAAATACATTTTTTTAGTACTTTAACTCATAATACCAATTAATTAGGTTGTATATATCGTAAATTTGATTGAACTTCTGAGTACCACTGTTTTCGCTCTAAATTTTCGTCCCCATTAGGGGTCCTATCCATCCTTGCATAACTTCTCTGCTTTGGCGTAGATTATCATGAGGGCTTTTATAGTGACAACATTCTACAGATGTCGATAAGTTAGGTATAAGCCCACTTCGACAACCTCTGGTCAAAATTTTCCCCTAATCTTCTGCATTAGTAACAGTTTAAGCAGTTCAACTGACCGTGGTCTCTGCATAGAATATCAAATTCAAACTTTTCGGTACACACACCTACGTCAATGCCTCAAAAAGGGCGCACAGGTTAGTTCACCCCATTCTAACACACTAAACGCCCTACAACTAACGAAAAAGACAATGTATCGCTCATATGAGCTAGTAAGATTTAACCATTTGCTGTTTCATGAGAAGTTTCTTCCTGTCTTCAAAAACAACATAAGTTGATTGCGAAGATCATGCAATTTGTGCATCTTATCATAAAACATGCCGAATCTGACATGAGGAATTAATTGACACTAATAACAGTGATATAACCATCTTCCAATTAAATAAAAGGTGGTCTAACGGGCTAACCTTAAGA